TCTCTCTCTCTCTCTCTCTCTCTCTCTCTCTCTCTCTCTCTCTCTCTCTCTCTCTCTCTCTCGTGTTCTCACACATAACAACGACTTTTTTTTTTGGGGTGCAAAAGTGACCACCGCACTGCTCCGGGTGCACCGCACACTTGCGCCGCAGGTAGGAAACAAAACCAAAGTTACCAAACCCCCTGGTAGACTTTCCGGGCCTTCTGGATCATTGGCGAGGGGGATAAAAAATCAGGCACCATTTTTTTGGGGCGGCCCAGGGCGTGAACAAACGCCCTGGACCACCCAAAAAAAAAATGCCCCTTGGGCTGGGGCCCACACATCCGAACCGAGATCCGGACCCGGACCTCGGACCCCCGACCACAGACGGTGGATCCCTGTCCGGTGGTCCGGATCGTAGCTATGTTTATTTTCTTTTATTTTTATCTCGAAATTTCACTGTTTATTTTTTTTTTCTCCCCCTCCCCTCCATGGTTACTATCTTCTTTTCTTGATTAGGTCGCCGCTACCCTACCCTAACCGCCCAAACCTCGATTGGGGTTTTCTTAGGGTTTTCTAGGGTTTAGGGTTCTCCTAACCCCCCTACTCTCCCGCCTCCTCCCGTCGGGCACCCTGGACCCGAACGGCTCCTCTCCCTTTGACGGGATTCGTGCTCCATCTCACGCACGACCCGCTGGTCACGGAGTGAGCCGACTCATGACTACCCACTTCGCTCCCCCGGTCCCCTCCCTCTCCCCGATGGTCCTCTATCCCCACGCCATAACCCATCTCCTTCGTCACCTTTTTCTCCACCTCCCACCATGTCTACCCCCATAAGTCCACTACCCACGGACACGACTATAGCTGAGGAGATCGTCGCGGCGCCCTCCGTCTCTCAGGTGCCCAACCACTCGACGGTCCAAGGTCAGCACTCTGTGGACCCCACGGACCTTCGCGTTGTTCTTGCGTCTCTCCTTGCACCTCTGCAAGCGCGACTCAATGCACTTGTATCCCTGGAGAGGCAAGTCAATGCGCTCGCCCTTGAAGTTCACCGCCTCAAGGGTTCTCCTCATCGCTCTCCCCACCACTCCCAAACCCCATCCCTATCGGCTCGGAGTCCGACTCTCCACGACTCTAGGGACGGAGACGCGGTGGTTCGTCCTCCTCTGCGGGCTAGGCCCAACACTCCCCCTCTGCAGTGGTGAGTGTTGCTGCTGCTCAGACCATACCGTCTATTGTGGCACACCCATTGGTACCCGCCGCCCCCGCTGCCCCTGCCGCTTCGGCCACTGCCGCATGTGCTGTCGCCCAGATACCGATATTTTGCCGGGCAGTTTCATCTACCCACCCCGGTGTTGCTTCCCAACTTCATGCATCGGTCACGGCACTGTGGCCCAGAGTTCTCCCTCCTCCCGCTAGGGTACTCTCTCCACCTCCTTCACCTCTAACCTCGCACACCCAGCGAGTGGCTGCCCTTTAGGCCACAGTGGCGCAACTCCAGACGGAGATTCTCTCCCTGAGACAGCCTCACCCTTCACAGGTTGCTCACCCTTCTTCTTCCGATACTGCCCCTCCCACCTCTGTCTTGCCGACTCGTTTCCCTCGACCGGCTCCCCCCCTTCTACCCTCCTACCTCGCTACTCCGTCACAGTTGGCTGTGGCCGTTGCCTCCACGTCTGCTGGACCTTCCACCAGCAGCCCAGACTCTCAGTCGGGCACCACTTCTACCTCTGCACCAGCCTCAACATTTGCCGCCACAGTGCAGGCCCATCAATCCCTCTCCCCTCGCCGTCACCACATCGGTCCCACCCTTATGCGTTTGTCGGACATGCCCGACTTCGATGGTACAGTGCGTGTGTCGCACTCGTTGCAGGCTGCCATACGTGCGCTGATACTGACGAACACTAGTCAGACGTTGTGGTGCTCCGTGCTCGCAACTAATTGCGAGGCAGTGCGTTCTCCGCATGGGAGAACTATTATACCCATCGCACTCCCTCAGGTGAGGCTCCCACTCTCGCGGATTTCACCGCGTTCCTCCATAACCGCTACGACACTCTCCAGGATGCGACCGGCGCCTTAGATCGGGTCACCCAGATGCAGTGGCGCGGGTCCTCCGCACCAGCCGATCTTGAGCGTCACATTAGAGTGTTTCAGGACGCTCGCCCCATTTGCGATGAGGTAGTTCTACCCGAGGTCCTTTTGACCAACAGGTTCGTAGTCAATCTTCCAACTAACTAACGCATCGAGCTCTAGCGACAGAGCTTCGCCTCCTCAGAGCAGACCTACAAGGCTGCTCGACAGTACCAGAAGATGCGGAACCGCTTCTCCGACCCCCCATCTTCTTCGCGATCCACCACCTCCGCCACCCAATCACGCGGCACCACGCGCGGTCGATCCTCCTTCGCCGGCCGCTTTCACCGACCAGCTCGACCTGGAGCGCCATTCTCTCGGCGCTACAGTTCTCCTGAGGACAGCGAGGACGCCTCGACCGAGCTTGAACCTACCCTTGGGGACGCCCCCGAGGACATCGAGCTCCGAGATGTCATCCATTATCACTTGGATGACGACACTGTTTTGGTGCCCGAGCGCTTGCAGATGGCCATGTCCACCATGGGTCCTGCACGCAGTTGGGTTGCACAGGCTGGCACCCGCACGTTCACAGTTCCTCAAATAGACCTCCCACAGGGTTTTGTCCCCCCTCGCGGCGCCCTATCCCCTGAGGAGCGTGCTGCCCTCGAGGCCCGTCACGGCTGCCTTCGTTGCCGCCAGGATGGACACATGTCCTCACGGTGTCCATACCATGCCGCCCTCGATCGGCACTATGCTGACATTTCTCGTCAGCACCGATCTCAGTTCCCCCCCGGCCCCGCGAGGCCAGCCCCACCCAGCTAGCCACAGTGCAGTGTACCGCTGAGGCCTCGCACGTAGTCGGCTTCCCGACCACCGAGTCGCGGTCTGCCCCTTTGGCTACCCCACCAGAGGATCCTCATGACATGACAGACGCAGTTCCCTCTGCCCCACCGTCTGTCGAGGTACTGTCTGCCCCATAGTAGACCGCAGCATCTAGTCCTTCCCCTCCGAGACTTTCGACGCGTCGCGCCATTCGCACAACTCGTTGTAGTGCCCAACTAGCGACTCGCAATGACGTGGTGTCATCTCTCCTAGATTTGATCATCCTTCAGGATCGCCAGGAGCGATTCACAAGACACGTAGACGTCTTGCGTCGTCTTCTCACTCTGCTCTCTGACACTGATCACACCCTCCCCATCATCAATATTCGCCTGGGGACATCTACGAGGGTGTACTTCGCTTTATGGGACTCTGGCTCACAGGGAGACTTCGTTCATCCTCACGTGGTCGAGGAAGCTCGCCTAGCTATCTCCGGGTCTCGCTCTCCTATCTCCATTACCCTCAAAGATAACAAGACGCAGCGCTTCTTCGATCAGACGGTCCCCGACCTCCACTTCTCCCTCACCCTCCAGCCATCGGATAGTACCCAGACACCTCAGCGCTACCATTCCTCTGCATACTTCGACGTGTTGGAGACTGGGTACGACTTTATCCTTGGCACTCCCTGGTCTCGCCGGCTCCGTGGCACAGAGGCCAAATGAGCGACTGAGACACTCGTTCTCAAAACGAAGTGTGGTCAAACCCATCGAGTCCCCTTCATTGGAACCACGGGCGACACCCCTCTAGACCTACCTCCCCAGGACCCTCGTCCCTCTGGGTCCGACCCAGACATCGCCTTCACTTCTCCTTGTCAGTTTGCTCACTTCATACGATAGGAGGACGTTATGTTCTACTCTGTGAACATCATGGATCTTCTTCACTATGATCCACTCTGTCCCGAGGTTGAGCTCATCTCACTTCAGCCCGATCCCCCTGACCCTTCCTCCATATTTGCAGCTCCCATCTCCACATCCACCCGTGAGCCTGCAGATACCCCTTCGACATCCCAAGTCCCTACACCGTTCACTCCTGAGTCCACGCACACGTCTCGTGATGACGCAAACGTTGAGGAACTCATGCGCCGACTTAGAGCCCGCCGTTCGCAACTTGATTCGAGAGTACCGCGACGTTTTCCCCCCATACTTCTCATACAACGGGATCCCTCCTATGCGCGGTGTTAAGCATTCTATCCAGCTCGTGCCTGACTATTATGTCCACCATCAGGCACCCTACCGACTCTCGATTCCAGAGGCGACAGAACTCAAGCGTCAACTTGAGGAGCTCCTTCGATTGGGTTTCACTAAACCTAGTAACTCGCCTTGGGGTGCACCTATCCTCTTTGCTCGCAAAGCGGACGAAACTATTTGCCTCTGCATTGACTGCTGCAGCCTTAATCGTTACACGGTTAAGAAAAGCTATCCCATGCCTCGCGCGGATGAGTTGTTTCACCCTCCGGCAGACAACCGCTTCTTCACGAAGACCGATCTTCGTAGTGGTTACCACCAGTTCCACGTAGCCACAGAGGACCAGTCGAAGACCGCCTTTTGGTCGCACTTTGGCCACTACGAGTTCACGGTGATGCCATTCGGCCTCACCAATGCACCCGCCACCTTCCAGACGACGATGAACGACTTCTTCAGGGACATCCTTGAAGAATACGTTCTCGTATACTTAGACGACATCTTGGTCTATAGTCGTACCTTAGATGACCATATCAGACACCTTTGCGATGTCCTACAGCGCTTACGCAAGCATGGCTTCTATGCCAAGCTTAGTAAGTGCCGCTTTGCCCAGTGCAAAGTGGACTTCCGAGGACACCATGTGTCTGACGAGGGTCTCCACATGGACGAAGCGACGATCACTGGTATTGCAGAGTGGCCCGTCCCCACATCTGCCAAGCAGCTTCGCGGTTTCCTAGGCCTCACTAGTTACTATAGTAATTTTATCCAGGGATACGCTTGGTATTCCTACGTCCTTACCTCCATCCTCCTCCGGAAGAACCCGCCATGGTTTTGGACACCCCTCTGCGAGGATGCCTTTCGCGCCCTTAAGAAAGCGGTGACTTGTGCGCCGGTTCTTCGTCTCCCCGATTTTGAACGCCCCTTCATCATCACCACTGATGCGTCAGATTTTGCAGTAGGAGCTGTACTGTCTCAGATGTTTCCCTCTCCTCCCGATTCACCTTATCCTCATGTTCCTCCTCCCCCCCCCGCCTCCTGCTGACACTGCTTCTCGACTGACGCCTACCCTCCCACCACTCTCGTCCACTGACAGTCCTCCCGATACTTACTCTCCAGAGGATGGGACTGTCGAGGCTCGTGTTGGGGATTGCCCGATCACCTTCTACTCCCGTCAGCTACTGCCTGCTGAGATAAACTACACTGCCGATGAACGTGAGGTTCTCGCAGTAGTTTATGCTACCCGACATTGGCATCATTACTTGCACGGGGCGCCCTTCACGGTGCGCACGGACAACTCAGTTGTCCAGGCTTTCCTCACGAAGCCCGAGCTTTCCCCTCGATAGGCACGTTGGTGGCGTGACTTATGCGAGTTGAGTTTCACCACTCATCCCATCAAAGGTGAAACGAACCGCGTCGCCGATGCCTTGTCCAGCCGTCCTGATCACAATCATGAACCCATCCATCTTGCTGCCATTTCCATCACCATTGTTGATCAGTCGGTGATCGACGCATATTGCACTCAGTACCGCTACTGCCTCGATTATCGCGTCATCCACGTGACACTGCGGAGTGTCAAGACCGTTCCTTCATACTCCCACGGGGAGAACGGCCTCGTGTACTGGGATGGCAGATCTGGTCAGCTAGAACCACGTATCTGCATTCCCTCCTCCGGACAGCTCCGTGTCCAGGTTGTAGCATAGTTCCATGACGATGCAGCTGTCGATCATATGGGTTTCCACAAGACGTTGGCTCGTGTTTGCTGCCTATACGTCTGGCCGAAGTCCAAGGACTTAGTCAAAGCCTACATCCAGGAGTGTCCTACGTGTCAGGAGGTGAATAGTGAGAACCACCTTCCGTATGGGTTACTTCAGCCCTTACCCATACCCGAGGGTCGTTGGGAGTCCATCTCGATGAATTTCATTGGTCCCCTCCGCCCACCCACTGAGCGCGGTCATGATGCTATCTTGGTTGTCGT